TGAGGAATGCAGTTCCTTGCGCAGACTTTCTTCGAATTCAGGCACGCGAAAAAAACGACAGGTCACCAGTCCTTACAGATCCCACTTTACCTCTTCAGAGGTAGGAAGTATGTAACAAACCTCACTGCTATCCATTCACCTTTTCAGCACAATTCGTTGGAGATTTTGTCCTGTAAGTAAAGCCAGTATGGGCTGAAAAACATTACTGGGAATCTGCGTCATCAGTGATTTGTGCTGCGTTGTGGTCCATATGTCTCGCACTATGACCATCAGTAAGCAATTCGAAATCGGCCCAATCTATCAACCACTGCAAGCGAAGGGAATACGGAACCACAGGAAGCGGAGGTGGACAAACCAAAAACAAACGAAAAATCGAGGGGAGCAATCCATTTTCCCGGACTACTATCAGACCGACAAATCGAACGAGGATAAAGATTGACCCAACGAAAGAACCATCCAGCTGCAACCAGATCGGCCAGCGGCTAACCAAATCCAGAAGACGAGACTACGGTGCGAACTACGAATAGACCATCAGGATGAAGGAAGGCAACTAGGAATAGCAGAAATTACCTTATTAGGCAATCAAATTTAAGGAAGAAAGATCACAACACAACACAAACCGGGAACGCACTATACGAAAACGTAACTCAAGCACCTCAAGAGTGTCATCCAACCAACCAATGCAATGCGGGACATACAGATCACAACGCAGCGCGAATCATGATCAGGCCAATAATATTACAGGAAAGACATACCAATTAGCCAACTACACGAGGGGATATTAGATACTCTTCATAAAAGGAAGCACGCACTCAACTATGCACTGAGGACGGCTCCTTGACTAGGAGACTGAAATGAAATCGGTCAGGAGCCCTGCTGATGATACACAACATGGATGCAACGGGTGTACAGAGTACGTTAGATTTTATGTATCAAATGACTTCATCTGCAGAATCACCTATTAGCTGAAGTTGTCACAACTTCAGAAATCAAATGTCTGAATTGCGTAGCAAAGCAACTTGCTCGATTTCAAACTTGTAAGATTATCCAAAGACGCACCATGATCCCGGTTTGAACAAAGACGAATATTGATCTGAATCTACCTAGATATTTATTAATGAAGATTTTGACATATAAGGGATGCTAATCTATTCTGAAAAGCCGAAGAGCACCAAGCAGTTTTTCTCCTCCTCGTTGGGACTCATAAGCAGTGCTCAACTCATGAAACTCAAGTAGGGAGATTCGAACCCGTGACTTCGCGGGTCGAGTAGTGGAAGCAATCAAAAGTTTGGTCACAAGTGGCTGATTAGTAGTGTGAATACCTCTCAATTAGATCAGGATAGATCATCACGCATCCTTCCATCGGGGAGACCAAATCATGTATTCACGTATTGACTGGCTCCTTGAGTGACGATTTCTCACGTCTGCTTTGATGTGCTACTGTCCTGATGTTTGAAGATCTCATCAGACTTTCAGTCAGCTGGGTTATGGGAACGGTTGTGTACTGCTTGGGTCACTGATCGTATTGGAGAGAAACACTGGATAAACGGCGAACGTCATCGCACTGAACAGGCATCCTCCCACCCTGCTCATCGATATAGCAGATTTGTGATATGTTATCTGAACGTCGTGATGAACGCTTAGTCCACTTGGTCTGCGTCATAGACGTACGCAAATTTAATTAGACTAGGCTCATTCTTCCCCCCCCCCACGTTTGTGCTTTTGTCAGGAAGGACATTTTCTGTCAAGAAGGCAACGCCCAAAATCTGGAACAAAAATTCAGAAGGCTTGCCTTTTCGGTCGAGGGGTGGTGCGAAGTTTCAAGGATCGGAATGAATTTCTTGCTGTTCATCAACTCATGCATGTCCTACTAAATGAATGAAGAAATTTGGACATACCCAGTATTGAATTATGGAAATCACGTGCATGTATTGTTTATACCGGTAGGTTTTTTTTTATCGCGAGTATGTGTTTAAGGATGACGGACCATCCACGACAACTTGTGTCCTATATTTAGCAGTTACTGGAGTACTTTTCACCAGACGTCTGACTGCTTCGCTGAATAGTGGTTAGTAATCGTGAGGGGAGGTGTTAGGTTTATTCACATTCTGCCCGCAACCCACTAGATAGATCCTGCGCAAGCGACTCAGGCCGATGTGAACGTTTGTGCCAGAGTGAACTCGGACCGTTTTTCAACGGCTGCATTGCCGCATGTTTAGGTCAGATCGGTTTTTCAGCCCCGAAAACCCTGAACTAGCTGCTACAGCTTCATTTACTGAGAATGGAGAGGAAAAAGAAAGGAGAACCACAAGTCCGAGGCGATGACTCTATCGCTTAGTTAACTTTCAGCAGTTGTTTTCATGAAGGAAACTGCTCACAAGTTTACTGAAACTCTTCGACAGCCCAAGACGGGTTTCGCCCTTCTTGGGGCTCATCAGGTAGGCGCATTCCCCGAGTTTCCGTCAACCTTATGTTCTATTTGAACCCAAGTTGGACGAATTCCGATTAATACACTCATGTTAGAAATCAATTTGGTTTTCACGGGATACTCGACTGAATCACTGGTCTATGATATTCTTCAAATGAATGTGCTGCACAAAGGATGAGAGGGGTTGAGAATTATGCGGTGAAGGTAACAGCTTTGTTGGTCAGAACTAAAAAACGACAATGAAAGTAACTGGGGCGTGGCTCGAACTGCCATCATCATCATCATCATCACCATCATCATCATCATCATCATTTTCACCTTGGAAAAGCCGCGTAACTGCCGTACAGTGTTTATAAATTCTACAGTTCTGTTCGCCAGTGATTTTGCAGAGGTGAGGTACTTTACTACTCGTTGGAGGCAGTAGCTAATGTCTCCAGAATGGTTTTGAAAAACAAGCTGCCGGCTGGATATCACATTTATCCAATGCTACTCTATAGGACCAATTTGTGTAGTAGAGGTTGACCACAGCACCGTAGGCTTGGCCTAATTTAGGGCTGTAACAAGGACAGCTTCTGCAAAGAACTCGAGAGTTTTCGCCCGTGGACTAGTTGTTTTAACATGCACATCTGGTTGGAATGGGGGCGAGACGGCCCAAGTGGTTAGAATCGTGGTTCGAATCCGACCTCCGCCACTCGACTTCCCCTGTCTAGGCTTGGGCAACCTGGCAGTATCCCAGCCCTCGTGCTTCCTTCGGGTGGCATGGCAGCTAGGCACTGGAAGGGTGCTACAGCTGAACGCTTTCTGGTTGGAGTATACAGTGCGCAATCCGGGAACTTAAAACACAGACATACTGATCTTATTTTAAAAAAAATAGAACGACACAATAATCATCACTCACCCTTCAATCACGGGATCCATATCGATATTCTAGGCATCGTCCTAGCTTAAACTTATTCGCAAGGTCAGGTGACGAAAATAAAAAAACGTTCAACAGAGACTGCATTCTGTTAGTGAAGCTAATCTAGGCTGAATAACTGAGACGCATTGTACAGCCTTCTCATCCTTGTTGGGAATCGTTAGCAGTGCGCATTGCATGATATTGATATGCGCTCACTTGGGAAGCCTCACTCATCCTCCAATGGCGGAAATCATATCACGTGTTCATTAATTGACTGACTCATCGAGTGACAACTTTTCACAAGGGATTTCCACACATCATTCCTATGAGCCACTTACTGAATCATGTTGAGGGGAGGACATATGGTAATTTTCAACAATTTTCATAAATTAGAGGTTCCAGTGAACTTCGACAGTCAATGTCAGCTTACTCTGCCAACGAGTGTCTATCTACGTTGTTCACTCAGTTCCACGACCGGTTTCACAACGCCCTCTTAGTAAAAATGAAACCGATTCGTGTCTTAACAACTGGAACATGAAGTGGCCTGGTACCGCACATTCGGATGCTTGGAAAAATCATAAACGAGAAATTCAACTGGGTTCCAGGTGAGCCTCTCACGTCAGAACCAAATTCGTATGGAAATGGGTGTAGTTCGCTAATTTCGTGCAATTCGGTTTCAAGTATAGCATAAGACTGACGAAAAATCAGGGACCGCATCTAACTGATGAGCACCAAGAAGGGCAAAATCAGCCAGAGCTGTCGAGGGGTTTCAGCAACCCTGTGAGTAGTGTATTACGTCTGTACATGTATCGCAATCCGTTGAATATCGTACCAACTGAGGCGCCTTGGTGCAGCCCATTCAATTGCTTGCAAACATCATAAAAGAGAGATTCAGCTGAGTTCCAGGTGAGTTCCCCCCCATCAGGGCCAAATTCGTATGTAAATGAGTGTGTTTTACTAAAGGTGATTCTTACTTCTCTCCGCTTATGCGTGAAAGAGATATGGTTAGTTCCTTTTATTAGTTGAGCTACAAACAATTGGTCCGTTTGGGGTGAGACTCACCGGAAATATTGCTTCCCCTGTAGCATTTGCAGTAGCAAAGTTGAACAGGTTTATTTAGGGTTTTTCGTTTCTGTTGGGAGTCTAAATGAAATAATTATAGGTGATTTACGCTCCTATACTTCTCTCCCCCCCCTTGGAGGGAGCAATTAACGGATCTGGCTGAAGTCGTCCCTGAGGGCGAGGCTTCTGAAGGCTGTCTCTATAGAGAGGACTAACTGTGGGTGTATCTTCTCCAAGTTCTGTTTCTCTCGTTTACTCAAGCGAAACTAAACAAAATTATTCGACAACAGGAAAGCTGAACTGCAATGTTCTCTCTAAGTGCAGTCTAATCACACTACTCGTTGGTCGCTCGTTAGCGAACATTTAAGTGTTCGGTCGCGGGTTCCAGTCTTCCTACTGGAGTTTCGTGAGATGTGCACTGCCGATGATTCCCAATAAGGATGAGAGAGCTTCTTGACTTTTCAGTACAGATTGGCTTCAGTTTCAAGACGAAATGCTCATTGAAAATTACCAATAAGTGAATCGGGTAAGCATGCCTTCCTTAGTCAACACAGAGTAAAGAACCCTTAACGCCCAGAATGGAAATAAAACAAAATGCACCAACGTAAATAACGGAAATTAATTCTGAATGACATGCGGGTATGAAGGAAAAATCTACTGAAGATGGTCAAATTGAGACATTTAAAATTTATTCGTCTTGTGATACGCCGAGTAGCTCTGTGTTAGAGGCTGCGATTCGAATTCGTGTGCGTTCGGTGGGGGTGTTAACAGAGTGTACTCTGTTTAAACACATTACCGGCGTAGACAGCATGGCAACCAAGTTCCTCCTCGATACGCAACAATTGGTTGTACTTGGCCAGCCTTTCGGATCTACAGGGTGCTCCAGTTTTTATCTGAAAGAGATGCAGAATTGAGACTCATCATCATCATTGACAGCATGACATCAGTGCTCAACACTGACGCTTCACTGCCGTACAACCATGATTCATTCGAATGCCTTATTGTAAAGAAAAGAGTAAAGGTGGACGCGGAGGGGACTTAGTGCTAGCTTACCACAATCATTCTCAGGTGCCTACACCCCAAGATATACACTCAGGCGATCTGGATAGAAACTATCAGCAAGAACGCCACTGACATCGGTTGGCAGCAATATCTTGAATCTTCTACAACCAGGCGCAGTGGGGATTACGCGGTCCCCATCCTGGAAGGCGAGTAGTACCGACAGCACCCAATGGAAGTACCCGTTGCACAACCGAAAACACGCTTTCTAACTGCCTCGTTACGGACTCGCCGACACCAACCCACACGAGTTATGGTTCTGAGACAACGATTGTCGAACACCTGAAGACGTCTCAGTTCCACTGCTCGAACAGGCCAAGTCTCACAGCCATACAACAAAACAGTCCCTACTGTAGCTTCATACACTCGTCTCTTGAGATTCAGGGACAAACCACTCTGACGCCATAGGTGTCTCAAATTAGCAGACGCAGCCCGGGCCTTGCAGATTCGTGCATCCACCTCATCTGTCACACTACAATCAGAACTAATACAACTTCCAAGTTACGTAAAACGCTCCACAACTTCCAGTACCTCTCCCTGGATCGTAAGTGGCGTGTTCAGTGACTGCACGTCCACGAGCATGACCTTACACTTTGTAGGTGCAAAGTGCATACCAAAGGAAGGGATGTCTTTGATCAGTTTGTCCAGAAACAACTGCGCCTTTCATCGAGCATGAGAACGATGTCGTCTGTATGTTCCAGATCGACAAGGTTTTCTTCACCGGCTATTTGAACATTATTTGTAAATTTTACTATTCCACCGTTCATTCATACATGAAAACAGAGTCATCGGCATCCTTATCAAAAGCGAAAATATCTCTTTTTCCTCATGAAATTCAACTAAAAGGTTTTTGTGGCTTTTCATCTTCTGAGGTGGGCTCCACATGGCCCTCCCGCTTCTTGGCCGGAGACACTGTATGATGTGACAGCTAACCGATATCATAAGCCTTCATGCGGTCAGTTGTATCGTCTCGGTTGTTTGTGGTAGACTAGCCCTAGGTCTCCCTGCCCGCTCGATTTCTTCATTTCTTCCATTATATGTCTTCATCATCATCATCATCAGAGACAGCAACATCAGTGTTGAGAGGGGTGAGTAAATTAGGTACATTGCACGTGGGCCGGGATACTGCCAGGGAACCCACACCTACAGACGAGGATGATCAGCGTTCTCAACCAAAGATACTTTGGCTCAAAAGCCTGACTCAAAACCAGTGATGTTTGACTGAAAACGCAAGTGCATTGCCAGTTTTATGCATGTCCCAAGCGCCAACCTGGACGGACTAGAAGATCTCTACCATCGACCAGCCTAGTTTGAGAGACACGGAGGCACAAAACCGTCGCACCATGGTAAGGTGCAATTTGTTTGTGGCGGCGCAGTTGTACGTGCCTTGATCATAATGTTGATGAATCATTTTTCACGGGGATTTCACAGTTTTGAACTGCTCTACCAAATTAGGTCAAATCACGTGGACAGCGGATGCGAAATCCACTACAGAGTGTCTCATAATAAACACAAAATTTGATTGGGTGAGTAAACGTAGCCAGTTGAAGAAAAGTTAACGAATATTTTTATTATTAGTAGCCATATTAATGGGATTTTGCGTGCAAGTGTTAGAAAGATGTCAGTATGTGCAATGAAATTGTGAAACTCTATTGTTTCCTTGGTGAAAGCGCCACTGCTGCACTTCGTGGTTACAAAACCAAACATGGTCTCATCAAAGATCCTTTCACCGTGTCGACCATTACACGCTTGATTGCTTGATCTGTACTGGATTTTCCTGGCAAAGGGAGAAAGTCTCTGAGTGATGAAAGAGCACCTATTGTACAGAAGTTCGTCGAGCAACTTCAGTCCCAGAGCACCATGGCATCTTCGTCAATAACTCAGGTGTCTCAGTTGACCGGCATTCCCCACGTCAGCCTCCATCGTAATATGAGACGCCACCTTCATTTCAACAAGATGGCGCTCCACCCCACTACTCAAATCAAGTGAGAACTTACCTCCGAGAGCAATTTTCTCATGAGAGAGTCATTTCTCGTGGATTTCCAAACTTTTGGCTCGTAAAGTCATCCGATCTCGCACCTCTGAATTATTGGTTTTGGTGGATGATCAAGGCTAGCGTATATCATGAAAATAAACCGAAGTATTTGGTGGAGTTAAGAGCAAGAATTGAAGAGGAGTGACGCTTGAAGAAGTTAAACATGCTGTGTTTCACATCTCATACCGCCTCCAACTTGTTATAGAAGAAAGAGGTGGTTTCTTTCAACATCTTTTGTAATGCCAGTTTGTTCACAGTGAACCACCATGCCGCATGTATGTCTACATAAAAATGATGTTTAAATTGGTGTTAAAGTTTTAACATGGGTATTATTTTTTGCGTCTATTATGAGACACCCTGTAGAATCAATGATACCAGGAGCTTAAGACGTTAGAGGGCAAGTTATTCTTTCATCGTTTCAGAATTTACGTGTTTTCTAAATCTACTCTCGGCCCAGTGTCCAAGACATGCCAAGTAACTGTGGAGGCCTTGCTTATTGCCAGATAGTCTGTCTATGTACCGTATATGCTCACCGATTCTGCTGTTCAGCTCCCTGGATATTTGACCAATGTAAAACTTCGTGCACTCGCCTCATTGAGCTTTGTACACACAGTGCATAGTCTTATCAACTGCACCAATACCAAATGTAAAGTTTTTCCCTTCTGAAGTGATACTCCGACGGCTTCAGATGTCCCTGTTTTGAATGCGTTAACCGACCCGCTCCTTGATTGATCTGGGTGTTGAGACTACAACCGGTCTTGGTTTCCGGTTGCTTATGCGACGATGACCAGGATTCCCACCACAGCGACGAGTGACCGGAGCGGTGAAAATCGCAAAGCATCCCATTGTGAATAGAACAGAGGTCGTAGAAATCGCAGGTGTGACTTCTAGACCAACCGACAGGACAGGAGGGGGTCTGCAGTTATCAATGAGATGATCTGGGCATAAAGTTACAAAACCCAAGCAAAGTAAAATCCAATTAAGCCTCCAACCTCCATCCACCCCTTAACGCATACAGACGAGAAAGCTACGTGAGCGACACAAAACAGGGATATTCTATTGAGATGTCATAGACCGGGAAAGCAAAGCCTCAAAATTTTGATTTGATTTGAAGACACTCCCCTAACCAACCTATCGTGCGTGTTAGTCATCCACACTAACAGACAAACAGGATTTTCAAACGAACACCCATCAATGATCAAGTCAGCTAGTCATAAAATATTTTACCGACTGGTTGTCTGAACGCCCTTAAAAATCGATCACCCTGATAACTTATTCACTTGTGCCAGACTTGAGACGTTCCCAAACAATGAATCTATCGATTATTTGCCTAACCTCTCTAGATGATGACTACTCAGTCGGTCCCAAACAGCTTGCAAATCATTTTTGTTTTCGGTGAACGTTTCCTATACACTGTTCACCATAAGCAATTCGCAACATTTGTGGGAGTAATCCGAGGAGACCGGATGAAACAGAGATCGGTAAAGCATCAAATGTGCCACTGAGTGCCAGACAGTCATGATGTGGTGGTTTATGCTATGATGTGGTGTGATGTGATTGGTGTGATGTGATTTGGCGTGATGTGGTGTGATGTGACGTGGTGTGGTGTGGTATGTTGTGATGTGGTGTGGTGTGATGTGGTATGGTGTGTAAAAGAATAAACCAGTGAAAATTCAAAACGTGCATCAACATGGGTTTAAAATCTGTTTACCTGTCCACAATTAAGACCAACAGCCAAGTCGGCAATCGTACTGTCCTCTGTCTCACCAGATCGATGTGAAACCATCACTTTCCAGTTCGCGCGCTTTGCTATCTGACAGGCCTCCAATGCCTCTGTGAATGACCCAATCTGGTTAACTTTCAAGAGTAAAGCATTGCATGCTCCCAGTTCGATAGCTCTCCGTACTCTTTGAGGGTTAGTGACCAACAAGTCATCACCGACAATCTGATCGACAGATATCACAAAGTGAAAATTCTTTGTGGAAATTACAAATTAGTAGAGTAAATCGACCAACTTTTTCTAGTTGTGAGCTGTAAGTTAACTGTCACTCAAAGACTGATTGAAAGTACACTCCTATAAAGCATGTTCTTTTCTGGAGGAGGAACACTGTTCCAAAAGAAATCGAGTGAAAGTGGCCTATTCGGAACGGTTTCTCCTCACCTCAAATATTCTTCCTTAAGTTTCGAAGCGTACTGGCGAGATACGACTGTTTAATCCCCGCTCACGTTCGAACAGTTCCTCTTTCGTCCTGACGCGGCTATTCTAGTGAGTCAACACTACAGAGAGGAAGCTCTTTCTTTGGTCGTGTCGGTCGAGGACTGAATACCGGAACAAGCGAAGCGAGCTATTTACCACGTCACTCAGGACTTCCTATTCGGATAACCCCTCTGATGCTTTATCATCATCATCATTGTCAGGTGTAGTGACCGCGTACTTGTCGTACAGTGGTTGTAGCCGCCACAGTTTCGTTCACCGCTGGTTCGGAGAGGTGTGTAGGTAGCTGCGCGTTGGAGTCTGGAGCTGATGAATTAGTGCATTAAAACAGCACTGTAGGTGGACTGTTAGGGGGGTTGGGAGGGGAGCTATGCATTGAAGGCAATAGCTTGGATGCATGAGCACCATTGAGGGCGCGACTGGGCCATGTCTGACAATGTCTCTAACCATTGATATGGCCCATCTCGGGGTTCCCATCCAGGAAGACGGCAATGACCAGCGCAGCTGAGTTTTCTCGTATTGCCAAGTCATTGTTTGACCGCCTGTAGCCCTCTTCCACCCTTCACGTGGTTGCACGAAAAACACCCTTAGAGGAAGTCGGTTGACTGCAGCACAATTTTTTGTTTAGCTGTAAGCGTTTGCAGAATTCGCGGAGTTTGCAGCCAATAACTCTCGTATGAACAGTTCTTCCTTTGTCCCGGCAGAATTCTTCTGGTGAGTGCACGATTGCTTTGATACCCTTGTGAAATGTCTGTTGGAGACATCTGTAGGCGAAGAATATTGCTGACGCTCCCAGAAAACTAGGAACCACGCATAACTTCAGCCCTTAGTCGTTCCGCACTCTACTTTGATGGCATAGTCTTGTACTACAGGTAGTCTCTCAAGGAAAGCCGGGCAAAGTGCTCCATTCCACGGTCATTATTGCACACGACAGTGAAGTGATGTGGAAAGCAGCTGGTAAGTGTGTGATGGGAATATAGGGCCTCCAGTGAAGCCGGTTAATATGCTGAAGGCAGAAACGTTTGAGTTTATGTGACAGAACCAGTCGTTTGACACAGTACTACTCATAATATCGCTGAAAACGTTTCAAGAGCACCGGGACTGATCTTGCCCTTCTTAGAGTAAGCGTTATTTTTAGCAGCTATGTTCTACTCGTTGGATTAAGTACATTTCATCGTAGGTTAGGCTAGACAATTGAACCCAGGTTTCGGGCTATCGAAGGGCCTCCAATAAAATTACGAATGGTGAGTTTCATGAAGAAAACGCACTGCAACCTCGAATATTTGAGGTGATCTTTGTGTAGCGCGTCAAAAAACAACACAAAAGAGAGATTCAATGGTTTTTCTCGTTAACACCAAGTTAACTTGCAAAAACTTTCCTAACTGGTCGCTAACTCGCTAGGAAAACTCAACTGACATCTGTTGAAAATAAAACATTCTTCTTCATAAGCTGGTCCCCAGCCAACAATGTGTTTTGTAATCGGTCTTTTAAAGCGCTGTCAGATATGAAAAGCATAGTGACGTTAGACTTTATCAAAATCAGTAAGTCTTTTATGTAGGTCCATTGAACTATTTCACCAGACCGTTCCGCCTCAGTTGGCACATCCCGCTTTCCTTGTTATTTTTAGTTTCCTGTCCTTTTAACGCCTCCTCTGCCTCCTTTCACATCCCGAACAATGCGTTGCGCTACTGTCCACATCAAGTACCGCAGCTTCAACAAAAGGAGAGCGGGATTTTCAGGAAAGATAGCCCGATAAAGCCCAATTTCAAATGGATTACATACTGATAGGTCTCAAGTGGTCTTTGTTGAGCGGATGGGAGTAAATTTGACGGTAGTCACTCGTGTGGTGTAAAAACTACACCGCAGAGTCAGCAGCATCAGCAACGGTAAAAACCGTGCTGCCCGAAGTTGCCACGGTTTCTTTGACCGACGATTTGGGGGTGGGATAGTTACCGCGCATTGGAGGCGGTAGCTGATAAAATTGATGCGTCAGTACATGGGTGTCAGATGACTTTTAATCTTGGAGTTCGGAAAGGCGACTGAGGGTGCGACTATGCGACTATGTCTGAAGGCGTCTCTAATCCCTCTCAGAATCCCCTCCCAAGGAGTTGGCTGCGATGAGCGCAGCTGAGTTTACTGGTTGCACCAAGAACATACAAGCATAAATTTTGCATGGGTGTATCAAATCATTGATGTTTTTGGCATGTCGCACAGATGTGACCATCAATCCTATCAGTCATTTTGCAAATTTGGCTAAGCACAGCAAAGGAATTTGAAACCTGTTCATTAGGGCTTCATCAGCTCGTGTTTCAACTGACAGCTCCTCATTGCCTCAAAGTCCTGTAACAGTGCTCACTCAGTGTATCGTTTTAAACAACAAAAAAGCGGACTTATAGATTCGAATTCATCAAAGATTGTGGAATCACACTGACCTGAACCTTGGATCGACTTCGAAATTTAATCCAATGTTCCCAGTCATCCTGATCGAAAGGATCCTCAATCGATACGATCGGATAATGACCGAGTAGACCGACATAGATATCCAATAGTTTATCCCCACTAATCAATTGATTTGGATCTTGTCGTGCATCTTTGAAATTCAAATTGTATTTCCCCCCGGTTGTATACATTTCCGAGGAGGCCACATCCATGCCAATCAAGATCTTGCCCGCATAGCCAGCATTTGAAATTGCGTCGACCAAGAGGTCCAGTGCTAAAAATGAGAATGTCATACCATTGATGAAAGATGTCTGAATTGCTCGCGAAGCTCGATAGCGTTTTGTTACCAAACTATATGATATCGTTAGTGGCTGGTGGTGTGGAGGTACGGCGAGATTCAACAATATCCCAGTGTGTTCCACTAAAGATCGAAGCACTGCTACACCAGCTCCCACTGATGATGCCAATCCGAATAGGTAGATGGATAGATTTCTATGCCCCATGATTTGAGAGGCGCCAAAGGGGGTGGCTGTTCATCATCATCATCATCATCATCATCATCATCATCATCATCATCATCATCATCATCATCATCATCATCATCACCATCTTCATCATCATCATCATCGACAGCGGGACATCAGTGTTCAACGCCGACGCTTTACTGCCGTAAAACCATGATTTATTTGAAAGCTTATTGTGAAGAAAAGAATAGAGGTGGACAGGGAAGTGACTTAGTGCTAGCTTGCCCCAATTATTCCGAGGTGTCTACATCTCCAGACATTCACTCAGTCAACCTGGATAGAAAGTGACAACAAGAATGCCACTGACATCGGTTAGCAGCCATATCTTGAAGTGTCTCCAACCTGGTACAGTGAGGATCACGCGGTCCCCATCTTGGGAGGTGAGTAGCACCGACAGCACCCAAGCGTTTCGTGATCTCCTTCATACTCCTCTGCCAAGTCANACCCAAGCGTTTGGTGATCTCCTTCATACTCCTCTGCCAAGTCAAGGGTTGGCCACCTCTCTGTTAACGCCACTCTGAGTTGGGCATGGAAAACAGCACTGTCTTCGGCAAACGATGGTTCGGCATACGCAACACATGTCCCAACCAACGCAGCTTCTGGTGCTGGATACATTCTTCAATGGAAGTACCCGCTGGACAACCAAAAACGCGCTTTCTAACTGCCTCGTTACGGATTCGCCGACACCAACCCACACGAGTTATGGTTCTGAGACAACGACTGTCGAACACCTGAAGACATCTCAGTTCCGCTGCTCGAACAGGCCAAGTCTCACAGCTGTTAGAGTTTAATGGCATGGCTCACAAGATGCACAGTTTACCGCACGGTCTTTGGTGAGATCCGGCTAGTTCGTTGGTTAAAATGCAGAACCCAACCTCAGTATGTCAGCCGATCCCGTCTGGGTTTCAGTAGCCCGGTAGAACGTCAGTCCTCGTGTTTCCTGCAGGTGGCGTGGCAGCCAGTTACTTTTATAATTGTCATTACTTTTTATCAAGGGCAGTGAGCATCATCAAAATAATTCAAGAGCTTCGTGGCCATCATGCAACTTTCTATTCAAAGATGCGCCACATATGCATTGAACAATGCGTGGACGTTGGGTCAATTATACTACAAAATTGATTGAACTGATGAAAGCAAGGTTGGTTTTTTATTCACAAGCAAGATTTCATGCTGCCAGTGAACTCAGAAACCGGGAATCACTGTACAGTTGTTTTTTTCCTAGTTGAGAATCCAGAACAGTGTTCATCTTATGAACCGGCAAACTTCCGGCCAGGGGTTGGACACTTAACTGTTCGTCAAAAAGTGCCAGATTTCGTTAACTTACACTTAGGCATGATATAGCGCCACTCATCCGTCAGTCATGAAATTTACATCACGTGATCGTACGTCGATTGGTTAGCAACCTGAGTGAAGACTACTCAGACTGCAGTCACACTCAGCTTTTGAAATGATTGCCTCTCTGATTCACTTGTAGATTGATGACTAACTCAAAGTTAGTACACAAATGTGACCAAATGCTCTTGAAAACTGGATTTTTCCCAAATCCGAGGTTCTTCATTTAGCCCCAGGTTTGTTCTACAAATAAGCTGGTTGAAATTTTCAACTTCAGGTTTCCCTGGACGTCTGAATAGAATGCCGTAATTATTTGAAGGAAAGCAAGTTAGAAATGACTCAAGAAGCTTGATGTTAGCAGATAAACGGATGAGGAGTGGTATAATGGCTTCCGTTAATGTACCTATTTCTACAAATCCAATACCAAAGTGCGAAAACTCCTCATTCCACGGACAGGTGTAGTGTGAATTACTTTTACGGCTGTTGATATTCCTAGACTAAATCAACGAGGGGGAGACAAATCCTTTGTGTATTTACACAGAAGGAACCACACCAAGTACAACGGTCACCTAAGTTAAATTACTGAAGACAGCCTGGCACTCGTTGTCAGATTTCGCGATGATGATGATGGTGATGATGATGATGATGATGATGATGATGATGATGATGATGCTACTGATGGTGATGATGAGGTGAGCTTTCTGATATCACTTCTGTTTGCTAGGTCGTTCCGTGACAGCTCAACTTGATCACCTTATATGTCTAGGGTTTTTTGAATGTTTGGTTTCACACATAACCCTGAACATGAGGCTCTGTTTTTTCTTGTTTTCCTGTAGTAATGTCACGGGGCGAAGTGCTCAAAGTAACCAGTTTCTTCACCATTCACGCATTAGTTACTATTTTCCGTGAGACTGCTCCCAAATGCAACGTCTGATTCAGCACATTTTGGGGAAGACTTTCGCTATTCAGACTGAGTTCCGTTAGGGGACGTAACTGCACACTGAACATCGCTCACTCTCTATAAAGGGTCAAAATACCAATTGTTGATCAGATTGTTGATCAAATGTTAGCAACAGACCATCATGTGGAGTAGAGATGTTTGGAGCAAATCCTCCTTCGTCACCGACGTTGCACGCGTCCAGTCCGTACTTTGTTTTGATGATATTTCTCAAACAATGATACGTTTCACTTCCCATACGAACGGCTTCAGCAAACGACTTTGCACCAACAGGAAGTATCATAAACTCCTGGAAGGCAAGACGATTACCGGCGTGTTTGCCACCGTTAAGCACATTGAAGGCTGGAACTGGAAGTGTCACTTTTTCGTTTCCGGCTAAGTTGGCCACCCATCGATAAACTGGAAGGTTCTAGAAAGGGGGAATTTGGCACACACAAATAAAACACGGAAAATTATATCATGGGTGCTTTTAAATAACTAATGTTATATGATCGTTGGCCATAGGCTTGAGACTGATCAATAAATAGGGCAGATTTGGTTGAGTCTTTTGTGGAAACCGAATCGAAGTACAAGTGAGTATAGTTCAGGATTTTCATGCAGTTTGGGTTCAAGTAGAACATAAGTTTGACTGATGGAAACTCGGGAACTGCGCCTACCTGATGATGAGCTCGGAGCACAAGGACGAAACCGCGGAGTGATAGAGTTTTCAGTATCCTTGTGAGTAGTTTCCTTGAAGAAAATATACTGCGACACCTGGAATATCATACCAACTGGAACCTGAGGTTAACTGTGTGTTGCACATTCAGTTGGAGGGTAGCATGAACGAAAGCTTAGGCTGGGATCCAGTGATGTTCCCCGGTTCATGGTTGCCCGAGCCTAGACCAGAGTAGTCGAGATTCCGGGGTTGGATAGGAACCATGAACCGTTCAGTTACTCACTTAGTGCCTTGAGTATTCAGCCATCTCGAACTTGACGATGGCGCACTGTCATTGGTGAATTTTATTGAACGGTTGTCAGTAAACTGACTACAGGAAAGTCAAACCGTGGCTGTTTGTGAGGCCAAAGTAAGACTAATTTGGGGGTCAAGTTCAGAGCAGAACGAAATAAATAGAAATTACGCTTCGAGGGATCTGGTAGTCCCAAAGGGCAACATGCAGGCAAAACCGTGGTTGACCTAAAATGGCCCAAAGGTTTGCACGAACGTCAACCATGGGAAATCAGAGGCTTGCATTATCGGAAAGTGATATTCCAGTACAAATCGTGGTTGAAGCAAGCTAACTATACCAGACCAAACACTGAATTGGGCCAACACCAGGCCAGCTGAACAAAGTAGTGCTACAAGATAATTCCTATAAAATTTGCGTTATTTATGTATGCACAGATGATCCACAAGCCTTGTTTTCGTGGTGGATACACACAGCTCAAGTTTTGGTCCCTGAATGTACTTTGAACTTGTACACTGAGTATGCTTGGGAAGCAAGTTACAGAATGGATGTGGTGATATGGAACTCGGAGGAAGTACAAGGGTGGTTACGTTTCCTCACATTAACTGATAATGACAAAGATCATTGGTCAGACGTGCATATCGATGAGCAGATCGGTTCACTAGGCGTCCCACAGCTTGATAAATAAACCAATCAGACAAGCGGGAACGAAACTGGCGACGCAAACGCCACCGACACCGACAAGCCGTTCTGTCTTTAATCGCTGCAGACAAGCGCACAGGGGCGGCAGACGTTATAACCCCATCTTAGAAAGTGATCCGCATGAACAGTTCTCAAACTCATCGTGATAATTTCAGTGCTTTTACTCGACGGGTCAGAAGCCAATCGGCGATCACGTGGTAGGTGGAGAAACACCATACTGCCTGAATAGAACATCCAAGCATCTTGTCTAGCCACATAAATAAGCAGAAAATTAAACTCATTAGAATCTGTCGAGGTAAAATAAAGGCAATTAGCTACAGTTCATAGCCCAAGAAGTACCCAAACCAACAAGCCTGACAAAAGCAAATTTGTTCTACATGAATGCCGTATCTGCATGATTACCTCATGCCTTAGTGAAAAAAGACAATCTTACTCCTTCAGTCATCGTTAACGAGGATGGACTTCGTGTTTGGTTCGACGTGATGAGAAATTTGCCCAAAGACATGAGATAGTGAACCTTGGTTCAGTTAAAACTAGGACTCATGTACTCTTCTTGGTGCATTAGTCAAACCTACTTGACTTTTTGCCCCCAAATAAGGCGTTGGTGTTTTAAAAAGTTTGTACAAAACCCCTCTGCTTTTGCGGTCCAAGTATCACCTTGCTCCGCTGAACGGTTCGCATGTGCAGTTTCTGATTGGCCTCTGGAGGACGACGAGCTAAGTTTGCCACCAAACTGGCGTTTGATTGGTTGTCTTACCAACACGTGACTGTGGAGCTGTTTTATATTCAACCTGCAGAGGCAGGCATATCGATCGGCCTGCCTGTCGATGACATGCTCGTGAGATCAAGTGCAGCGAATACGCCTGGTTTGAGGGAATTTGAGCCAACGCAGTTTAATGTAAAAATTTAGTGCTTGGACTATGTGAGAACCGTGACGTGTCTTGGGCTTCATCGGATAGACGGGTTCAAGTATCACCAGCTGGGACAGGAAGTCTAAATTATGTTTGTCTTGATGAGTGACTTTCGGTAGCGGAATTCCAAGCCTAAGGACATATCGAATACCTGAAAATTCGTCCTCGAATTTGATTTAGGTCTAAAACAGCAGGGTACCCGTTGGATGCATTTAAACTGCTCATCGTAGTAGATTCACGCAATGCCATATTGCTGATGCCTTGCTATTGTTAGCAGACGCATCGATCGGCGTCGGACTACGATATGCATGCGACCTTGACGAGATGTGTTACTCCATTTTTTCGTGCAAGAAGTCTTCGCAGAGTGGTGCCAAGATGTTTCTGGTTTATTTCAGACCAAGTGCTGATACGACCACGTGTTTGGTTCGTAAATCAATACATCAAATTGCCCCCATTTGTGCGATATTCAAATTTTTCACAACTAACTGCCCAGCTGTTTGTTAGTTCAATTTCCATTTCTCTACTAACGGGCAACTCATGACCTTGAAGGAACCATGTGCATTGTACTTTCAGGTGACTGTGTCTGGACCCAGGTTTGACCCGCTAGTCGGAGGAATTTGACAGAAGTACGTGCACAATCCGTTTGAGCTCTTCACGTGACTTCGCAGTTAGTTTAGCTCCACTCGCTCCACTCAATCAAATTGACTAGATCGGGGTTGCTGGCGAAGCTCCAGGCGAAACTCTTCATTTATTGTATTTTTGGTTACCAACCACTGCCTTTGTGGTCTGGTGTCCCCTCATGGGAATTTAAAATCTTTTTAGATTGTAGAAAAAACGAATTATTGGTACTAAACACTATTCAAAGCTCATCGCCACCTCTCACTACCGTGGATGGAAATTTATCCATTTGTTATGTCGGTGATGATCTTCAGATGTAACATCCTTTCGCTGCCTAGCGTTTGTGCCAGCCGAAGGAAACACGACGGCTGAGATTCTCCCAGGTCGCTTAAGCTTAGACGATAGTAGTTCGGAAGACGGATTGGTTTCGAACCACTGAACTTGTCAGGAAGCACCCAGACATGGAAGAAGTACATGCACAGAGAGTGACGCATCCCCAAGGTCATCATCGGTACGACACATTTCGGATAGCAGGTGCGTTGGCGGACCTCACCAAACGCGGGTTAGCAACATACGACCAGCGGAGTGGGGTTGAAATCGTTCATGACCGGAACATCGCCATTGGCTGTGCAGAACGAAGAAGTGAACGACCATATTTGGCCCTGTAGTCATCCTATATATTTACGCAGAAGCTCTGCATGTTTTGTCCTGACAATACAGTCGAGTCCAAAGTTCACTGTCTTCTCCTTATCGCGTAGTCTGGCTGGCTCAGTGCAGGCGTAACTAATGGACGGCTACCCACGATACAGCAGAACCAAAGGTTGAAAACTTCTCGTGCCCCATGTTTTGAAATAAGCGGCTTTGGAATTGGACTGGAGTAACGGCCACGGGACAAGACTTCTACTAAAAGCGAGGACACCAAGGTGAACTTTTCACCTGAACTATGAATATTGAAGTGATCATATTTTTCCTTAGCTAGCTTCAATTGTTGAGGATTTGTAAATGCTCAAATTTAGTAGCTTGGGTCCGTCATTTGAAAGAAAACCAAGTCACTTAAATAAAGGCGATAAACGAGCAAATCAGAAGAAAACGTACCAGGCCACAACGCACCATAACTTCTTAACGCACCAATCAGATGACTTGCAAACTGGCCGACAAATCATTGCGTTGGATTTATTAGATACGCTTTGGAAATTATTTAAATACTGGACGAAGTGGAGCAAATACCCACCCAACCGCTTACTAACGATGCTTCTTCGCGTGCTAACGGAACGTTTGGTGACCATTTACCAAGTTTAACTAGCCACCACCCGATCAATGATCAAGGTAAGGGCCTTCTATCCAATACTGGCTCCAAATGATGTCTTGACATTTGCTGACAATCATATATGTGTGTACATGTAATACTTTAGAACAATTAAGAACATCCAACGTCATATTCGTAGACTAACTCACCTTTTCAGCAGCACCGGCCTTTAGAACTGCCAGTGAAACCGCCAAAATTGCATTGGCACCCAGGTGAGCTGAAAGAAGGTTTGAAATTTTTTGTGGTCTTTTGAACTCTGTGATCAAATTTGAGGAACTCTTAGTCATTGCTCCTAACATCGTTTATGGGGAGCAGCTTAGCCTGCTTTCTGATGGGTCGGAAAAAAGAGCACGTCTTTCTTTTGTTAAGGAATTGCAACATTAGAGGCACAAATCATCAGGTAAACAAGTTACTGCAGCTCACGAGATCACAAAAGAGTACCTTATTAGCCATGAGCTGCTTTCCAGGATTCTCCTTATAAGGTGGTTAAGCTGGTATTCATCAAATTTTCAAAGCGATTTGAGCAGGTATTCTATACCGGGAAATCAATTCGTGGGTCAACGGGCTGAAAATCGTTCACCAAGGAGCAATACAAACATGGTGGTCTGCAATAGAGCTTCATTCTCTAAGTGTGGCCAGTCTGTGCTGAAAAAAAACGAGAAGCACTGTGAAACTGTTTCATCCTTCAATCGGATCATCTGCAGTGCGCGTTTCACGAAACCCCAGTTGGGTATTTCAAACCCACAACCCTCCGACCAGTGGTTGAACACAACTGTTTGGCCATGAGCGGCTGATCGGCAGTGTGATTAGCTTTCAGTAAGACAGCATATAGCATCGCTCGCCGTTTCATCACAGAAGCGACATCACGTGGTCACATACTGATTGAATGACTGGTTGACTTGAGCTTTACTCACCGAGTGGGTTTCATTTTTCCTATGAGCTACTTTTCAAGGTTAGTAGCGATAGGCCCTGTTGGTTCGAATGAACGGTCACTATTTTTCAGAACTCTATCATCAACTGATTTTTTTTTGGTAATCTGAAAATGTCCACTAGTCCAAACTGTGTATTAACTTTGCAGTCAATCAACCGAGGTGGAGGTTGTTGCCCCCCTGGAATGTTAATTTGACGGGAGTCATTCTTGTGTTGCTGTTGAAAAACACCAAAATATGTAATCGAATGCCTAGATGTCTGATTGGTAGCAATGTACAGTAGCCCACGCGATATCACATATGCGCACACAAAGTAATGCAACGTGAATAAGACAGTGATGGCTGAAGACAGTCCAATCCACTTCGTTTTGTATGCACCATGTGAGTAGTATATATAAGTAGTCTAACAAAGTGTCTGTTGTTTGTACAACCCAACTCTGAAGCTAACTTACTTTTGTTCGTAGTCCCATCCAATTCTGTCACCATGAATTCATCAATGGCGTGTTGTTCTGTCACACACAAATTCTTCTTTATCAGAGCAGGTGCGATTATTTTATTCACGTTGTTCACAGCCTTCATGACACCTTTGCCGTGATACTCGGGGCCACTGTCGCGCATCTCGTTTGCCTCGTGAATTCCGGTAGATGCTCCACTCGGTACAGCTGCCCGAAATAGACCTGTGGCAATTTATCGAAAAAAGTGCGTGTTGTGACTGCTGTGTGAAGGTAGATCGGTTTGGAACCATTCAGGACGACGTATTACTATAATTGCGGATATCTTGAAGACTGGATGAAGTATCGGGATCAGGTATCAAATACGAAAGTTACTCGTGGTTGTGTAATAGTGATATAGTCAGCAGTTTAGAAAACCAATCAGCTCCTCACGTGACCTCGTGTTAGCTGGGAAAAACTGGCGGTTTGCTTAATCCTAAGGAATCTTTTTCCACATACTTCCGGGCAGTTCGACAGTAAGGACCTCGCGTACTAGAAACAGGAATACGAAGTCATATTCACCAGTGTGAGGCCACTAACCATGCAAATTGCTCTCCAAAGGCTTCCGTACACAAAGCGATGTCTGTCAGGGGTTCCACTGCTGCTATTTAGTTTCCTGGTGGTCAAGACGATCGCTGGGGAGTTCTTAAAGCCCTAGTGTTCAGGTAGCTGCTGACGAAAACTTTGCCGATCTGGAATATGCGGACGACGTCATTCTCGTGTTTGAACTGACCAAATTCACCCAGTCCTTCGGCGTGCGCTTTGCACTCTCAAAGTAATAGGTCTTGCACCTGAACATGCAGTCTATCAACATGCCACTTACAACTCGGAGGGGGAGGCAATCGAAGTTGTGGAGCGTTGAAGTATCTTGGACGTTGCATTAATTCCGAGTGTAGTGGTGGTAGTCTCGCGAAAGATGATATTTTAGTGTAGTGGAGTCTCGCGAAAGATGATATTTTCATCCGGATCGGGAAGGCCAGAGCAACTTTTGCGAACTTACGTCACCTGTGGCGTAGGTAGGCCATCAGTTTCTCTGTCAAGGGTCGGGTTTACAATGCTGCGGTGAGCTCCATATTACTATATGGATCAGAAACCTGGCCGCTGCGCGCCGAGGACGTCAAAAGACTTTCAGTGTTTGACCATCGATGTCTTC